TAACTTATCTTTTGGGGAATCTAATTAAGTTAATTAAAAATTCTGAAGTTAGAGTTAGACAATAAATAATAGGTAATCGCAATTAAATAATTAAAGCGTAAGGGAGAAATTGAATTTGGGCCTTTCTTGGGCCAAATTCGCTACTTTTTGGAGTTTAACACAATTCCCTTTTTGGTATACAGCTGATGTATATCAGTGTATATCGGCATGTATATCAGCCCTTTTTATGTATTTCTTGCTTTCAAACACCTGTATTTCACTCCAGCCCTGTTTTTTTATTGCGTTTTTTACCTGTATCTCGGTAGTGTGAGTGTATACTGTTGTATACAGCCCACTTTTGAGCCTTTGGAGGCTCATATTTCAATTTCCAGCCAACATTTTGCCTTCAAGGACCTGTTCATCGGTTCCGTTGCTAGTAATTAAGGGCTGACTAGAGGAGAAAATTTGGGCCTACAGGCCCGATAAGCGATGCAAGGCCGAAGCTAGAGTCAACGGAACTCATTCGGAGAGATTACATGCACAAAGAAAGAAACAAAAAGGATAAACAATAAGAAGAACCAATTGAGAATATGAAGAAGCAATAATTTAAAAGGGAGTATGAGGAGTTCCATCAAATCACTGCAATACTCCTCTAAGTCAACAATTCACAACAAACCAACGTTAGCATTTTTACACAGAAAGGCAAACCCAAATTTGAGCAAGAGAAAAGAAAAGAGCTACTAACATTGACAACCATGAAGATCAGTTTACCCTACAGATTTGCTCAAATTAAGACCAAAATCAAACTAGCATCTTACACATAAACCAAACTCGAACTAATGACAAAAATGAACAAAATACCCACTTAGCCTTCAACTAGAAATTTAAGAATGAAAGAAAGAAAATGATAAATTCATCAAATAAGAAACTAAGAACTTCATTTAAACAAACAAGAACCAGATTTGCGGCAGTTTCGAGATAATAATCAAACTCTCCAAAATAAAGCGATAAGCTATATATATACACATACACACACACACACACACACACATATATATATATATAACAATTTAATCAAGTGCCAGGTGAATAAGACAACCTGCTGCTTTAAATATTGGAACAGGAAGAAATTTAAAAAAAAAAAAAATCACAAAGAGAACTTAGATAGAACACAATGCTTGCCCTTACTGATATATGTCTAAACACAAAACCTTAATGAATTTGAACCATTTGAAAGGGAACTGAGACAAGCCTTGTGGAAGTAAAACAAACAATAGTCAAGATTTGCATTATGCGGAATACTCGTCAAATAGCCACAATACAGGATAAATGAAAGCATAAGCACACAAGACTTCAAAGACGCAAGAATCATGAATTCCGGATATACATGTCGTCAAACGGAGCATAACAGTGAAGAAGCAAGAGGGAATCGAGTTTACCTTTCTCGGAGCAGCGTTACTAGGACGACAAGAAAAGCGATTCCACCACTCTATTTGAATATTAAAGGCAAGCTAACAAAATTCGAGTGACGATCTTCTCGAAATTTGGAATCAGAGAGCTAAAAAAATATTTCGCAAGTGTAAAGCGATTATGGCCAAAGACCCGAACTCCAAAACTCTTTTTTCAAATTTTTTCTCCCCCAAAACAGTGATCAAAAGAGAGCAATATATAGCTGGAAATTTAAGGGAAATCGGGTGAAATTTTGAATTTCTCTTTTTCGAATTCAATCTCTGCCCCTTTTCAATCCAACAGTGGTAAGCTTTGAAAAAATCCCTAAAAATGGGGGAAAAGGGACGTGAGGGTGATGGGGGGTCTGCATGGTATGGGTTTTGCGGAGAAGTTGGACGAGATATCCGGATTTGGCTGGATTTTTCTGGGTTGCGTCTGGAGGAAGAAGAAGAGTATGGGCGGTGGGGTTGGGATACTGTATGGCGTATGGTATGATGTATTTGTATTGTTGAATTATAAGGATGAGGGGATGGGGTCGGTTGGTACTATTTTTGGTGTTGTATTTTATTTGCTGTTGAAAAAAAGAATTGGGCCGGTTTGGAATTGTTGTGGGTTATTTGGTGAAGAAGTGGGCCGGTTTGATACTATTGGGTTGGGAATGAGTTGGATTGGGAATTGCATTGTTGTTGGGCTGATATGAATTAAACTGGGCCGGCTGAAATTGAAAGGAAAGGCCCATAATTTGGTCTTGCAAAGTGGTTGAAGAAATTGGTAAGGAAGTGGCTATAATTGCAATTACAAGGGATTAGAATTAGAACCAATTGAAGTTAAAAATTTAGCCGATTTGAATTTAATTGGTGAATTCGGCCAAAAGTTAAATAAGATGAATTAATATAAATTAATTAATGAGCTTCTTAATCTTAACGAAAACAAAAAATAATTAACTTAATTATAAACTAATTAATTCAATTACAAAACTAATTAACTCGAAATTACAACTATAACTTAAAGTAAAATAAAACATTTAAATAAAATGCAAAATCCTTTGTGATGATTTTCAAATATTTATAAAATAGTGTGATTGCAAAAATATACATATTTATTATTAAAAATGATAAAATTACTTTAAAAATAACTTGAAAGTATTTTGAATTTCATAAAACTCATTAATTCAAAATTATAACCATCCCTACTATTTAATATATAAAATCCCCCCCCCCCCCCTTTCTTTTTTAAGACGATTTTCGAATAATAATAAAATATACTAATTGTATACATAATTATCTAAAACATATATATCATCTAAAAATTATGAGAACTGACAAAACTATTTAAATCTCGCAAACTATATTATTATTATTATTATTATTTATTTATTATTTATTATTTATTATTTATTTATTTTTGGAAATTCTATAAAACTAATTATTTTAAATCGTTTGAAATTGGAGAAGCTCGAAATGATTAATTTATATTGTGGAGGGTCAAAATTGGGTGTCAACAAGCCTAAGTGTACAACGTTTTACCTCACGTTGCCAAGGACCGTCCTATACCTTGCCATTGGTGTAGAACCTGAACTACTAAGTGGATCCACTAGTCTATGCTGAAAAGTACTAAGGAATCATCTAAAAAGTATGACCCTTTTTTTGCCCATGATTGCTACATGGTTTATGGGGCTTGAGTTAATATGAACTCGCGTCCCCATATCGTTGCCCAATACTACTCCCAAAAATATACTTAGCTCATATGTTTTTTTAAAACAACTTCTTCTCTAGTTTGAGATAATTACTCAAACTTAACTTAAAAGCTCTCTTGGAATCAATGTTCCCCTTTTTGCTTCTTCAAAAGTCTTTTGGAAATCTCAGTTTCCTCTCATCTTAAATGTGAAAACATTTACTCTTGGGAATACTTAGTTCTCATATATCATTTTAAAGAAAATGAACTTTACTCTTACTCTTTACTCAACTTCAAAACTTAAGTCTTAAAACAAGGTTAAAACATTTGTAAAAGACTTATGAAAATTTGAAATGAACTTCTCTTACTAGACTCTTGACTTCTCTTGACTTTGATCTTAACTGCTCTTGACTCTACTCTTAACTAATCCTTGAATTGAATTATGGATTCAAGAATTAAGATTTGGGTTTGGAAAGATCTCATGTTGTTTAGAAATGATTATAGATAGTTAAACACGAGAAAAGACCAAAACTCAATATTTGAAGGTGGGTCCGCGACGCGGAGGCATAATTTAATTTTGGTTTCGAAAACGTCTTTTGAGGCAGAACACCTCGTGTCAGCTCCACGAGGCAATGCAGAATTTTCAAAACTGGGGGCTAGGCGCGCGACGCGCCACTGATGCCAAATTTCGCCCGACAAAATTTCTTTTTCGTTTTCCAACCCCAATTCGCCCAAACTTGGTTCCTTTTCTCAAATCTCTTTTAGATACAAATACCGAGCAAATGAACCTAAGAACCTAATTCAAAACAACTCTATAATACAACGTAACGATCTCAGAAACTTCTCAATTCATCCCAATTCAAGAACAACAATCAAATTCAAGAATAAGTAATAAGATCATCAATACTCAAACTCTTTTAGAACGAATTCTGCTGAACGAAACATGTTTGGCGCGTGGGTGAATGAACCCAACGCTATGAAGGACTCACATACCTTGTAGGGTCAATTCCTTGGCGAATCCGCAACCAAAATCGATCGTTCTTGGCGAATCCTGCTTTTCCTCTTCTCCTTTCTCTTGTGTTCTTTCTCCAAAAGCCCCAACTCTATTTCTCCAAAGTGTAAACTGAACTAACTCAATTTTGACCCCAATTATTTTATTAAAAACGGATTTAATTGATTGGATAAGGAAAAGACCAAGCTACCCCTCAAAAATCCGGATTGGGCAGTTCCTTATTCGAACAACCTAACTTCCAAAGGGCATAACTCACTTATACAAACTCGGAATCGTGCAAAATTAGTGGCGTTGGAAAGATCATTCCAAGAGTTTTCCAACCATATCTGGAATTACACCTAACTCATCCTGAGCTATGAGTTATGATCGTTTGAAGTTGACCAACAACTCACTTTAATTTACTTAAAATTTTCCAGATTTCCTTATAGTTTCCAAAAATAACTATTTCCAGATTTTAAACTTTCTTCTAGTTCTTTCTAGTTGCGAGATGTTATACCTGAACTCTCATCTTGTTAGTGAGGGTTTGATTCCCCATAATGTAATCCCTTCTCCATTTACCCTTCCCCTACCCTCATTTTTTTTAAAAATATAAATATTTTCATCCATATAGAACACAACCTTAAAGTAAAATGATGCTTAGTAGTTAGTTCATAATGCAAGACCATGAAATTTATTGTTTATTGTATGATTAATTTCACTATAATCGTATCAAATGATAAATCCACAACTAAGATCATCCGTGTGTGTTCCTTCAAAATCCTACAAGAAAATACACTCATACATAAAGCTCAACATAAGCCAAACGCGCCAACTACAGAGTAATCATCTTTCAATATGAATTGGCACACTAAAGATCAACCAATGTGTAGAACAAAGATATTCACAGCTAAATTTTGTCAATAAATGCTTCAACTTGTTCTATTTTCTTCAACTTGGAAAAGGTATGAACAATTGTACAATTCACAAATGTTACAGTTTGTTGTTCATGTTTTGTGTAAACAAATAAACAAAAGAACAATTTTTTTTTCGAAAAAATTAACCTGGCAATACTATTCTGGTTGAAGTATTCATATTCACATCTGAATAAGCCCCTGATGCCACTTCTGCATCCAATCCAGCAGCCCATCTCCTTAGAACTCTCAACAATGTTGCTGCTTTTCTTCTTCCCCTCCCTGTTCCCATTCCCATTATTTCCCAAATCACCCTCTCAATCCCTTGAACTCCTGCCAATTCCGCCACCATCTCTGATCCCCCTTTACGACACATGTTCACTAGCGTTGCTGCAGCGCTCTCTCTAGCTCTATCTGTTCCATCTCTTAATACTATAGCCAGTTTTTTTATCAATGGATATGCGGCTGCAACGGCCACCAATCCACCCTTCTTGACCACCACTTCGAGAATTGTAACCGCCTCTTCAGGTAATCCATCCATAATCTCCGCTACCATTTCCACTACCCCGCCTTCAATCAACTTCCCAACTGCCTCCCTATCTCCCGCCAAATTCAAAATAGCTACTAAGGCATCCCTCTTCGAATTCGTTGGCCCCTCACATGCCAAATCCATCAATCCCTTCACCACACGTGTCTTTCGAGCTAACCTCTTCTTGTAAGCAGGTACACCTGACAAGCTAAAAATGGTTGCTGCCGCATTCCCTTTTGCCTCCCACGTTGCACCAGACCTTAACACTTCGATAACTCCATTTAAAACCCCGTCTGTTTCCATTATCCTCGTCTTGTTTGCCTCAAGAATAGATAGATTGAGAATTGTTGTAACTGCATTAACTTGTAAGCTCGGATACTCAGAACCTAACAGCTTAACCATTAACGGCAAAGCTGCAGCTTCAGCAATGCAGGCTCGGCTATCTGAATCCGTCTTGGCTAAGACCCGAAGCTCATGAACAAGCCGGTTAGCCGATTCTACAACTTGGGAAGCCTTCAACTTGTTGACCAAAAACGACACAGTCATTCTCGTTGCTTCCAACGCTGTTTTGTTGGTAACAACGCCGTTGGATTTAACGTTCATCTCCGTTGATTCAAAGGGTATTTTCTGCTCTCTGCACCACATAGCCATCAAATTCTTCAAAGCTGAATTTGGTATGAGGTCTGTGTGGGTCAAGGTTTGACCCGTTTTGGGACACGTGGTATGACCCGATTCGAACCAAAGGGTTATTGAACTGCGGTCGTATGTTTGTCCCGTGGAAACCACCACAGGGTCTCTCATCAAGTCAAGCGAAATCGGACACCTGAAATCAGCCGGAACATTAACATCCGCCGCTGCTTCCGCCGCCCGTCGCCGCCGTGAATTTGTTCTCGGTGTTGAACCGCCGTACAACACACATTTAGCATATCGAACAAATCCGATCAACGCGATGATATCTGATTTAGCTTTCTCATCTGTTTGACTTTGAATTTCCTCTTCCAATAACTCAATTTCATCCCTGCAGCTTGTAGAATCACGCAAAGTTAATTTCTCAAAAATTTCCGCTAATTTACACTGATCAGGTACGATTTCTCTTTCAATTCTATCGAGCATTTCAACAACTTGAGATCGTAAATGTCGATCCTTAGGATCGACATAAGCTAATTTCTCCGAGCACTGCTTCGTTATCAGAATCAGCAATTCCTGAACATCGTCGTTTAATTTGAGCTTTTTCGAAGGAAGAATATCCAATAAAGTAGACAATTCAAGAGTTAATTCATGAAAAACGTTACAGAAAACATCAATTTGCATAAGTAGCCACATCTTACTACAATTACGGCAATCTTCAAGCAAAGTCTTCATACGCTGTAATACTATGTACAATTCGTCGAAACACAAAACAGCAGAAGGTGGAAAACCAGTTACATGTCCTCCTCGTGATGTATTCGAATCATTTGAATATGTAAAATCTCTACCGAGAATTTCTTCGAATAATACTGATAAAAGCTTGGATTTCCTGATAATTGAAGATGTATTTCTCTTGAGAAGAAATAACAAAGGTTGTAGAGTAGAGATTTCAGATGATAAGAGAAGAAGAGATTTAAGGAGATTGCGATCGGAGAGATTCGGAGCCACGAAACAATTGGCCGACGGCCGACGTTTTCTCGGTGGGAAAGATTCAGGTGAAACTGCCATATTGTAATGAATAAAATTTCAAACAATTACGAAAATGCTGAAAATTGAATTGTATTTAGATGAATTAAAAGTTGAAGAAATCAAAGAATGAAAGAAGACTTTTCTTAGAAGTGATAGAGGAGGCTTTTTTATTTGTTTTAGAAAAATGGAAAGAGTATTGGATGAGTTGTAATGGGGACGGACTGTTTCATACAACTTGCACGCCTTTTTCAGCCATTTTAGTTCTTAACTTGTAATGTAATTTATACATTATATCAGTACTATTTGGTTCATAGTTAGTTATAAACTATAATTACATAATTAGCTGTTGTTAAAAGTTACAATATGGTAAGATGGAGGAGATAAACAATGATATTTTATTGGTTTGAAATGAGGGCGGATCAACATGGAATTCAGGGGTTCACCCGATGTTTTGAATCGAAAAGTTATAATGAATATATAGGATCAAATATGTATTTTATGTCTATATATTTAATATTGAATCCCCCTCAACACAAGTTAAGGGGCTTGGTTCAATGGCTATGGGTCAGAAACTAGTAGGTGCGCAAGTTTGACTCTGGGCTAGCAACATTTACCAATGTTTTTATCTTGAAATTTGATATAGCTTAATTGTCAGCACTATTTCGCATTCTTTTAACACTCAATAGAAATTCTGACTCTGCCACTATTTAAAATATCTCATGTGATTATCTTATTTCGTTTTTCCATGTATAAGTAATTCTAGTTGTGGCGAAGGCACAAGGCAAATAAATCGAGCAATAAAGTTAAAAAGATCCGTTTAGGCCTCTCATCAAGATTTGGCTCGTCATTCTTGACTATATCATTTTAATATAAATGGTAGGATAAAATAATTTTGTGATTAGTTGATATTTTAAATCAAACATGGGACAAAGTTAATTGCAAAGTTATTATTCTTATCTCATGTACCAAACGGATTATATTATACTAATGATAATTGTAACACGTTAATTACTACGTTACACATTTCCTATGTTATCAACTCGTGTTTAATGTATACCACGTTAAATACATAAGCAGTTTACTAAGCATAATTTTTTTTGTTTGATATTGTTAGTACATTAAATTTAATTCCATATATGAGTTTTTTAAAATTGAAATTGGACAAGTGGCCCATTTTATTAATGCTCAAAAAGAGAAGTCTGACAGAGTGATAAACAATTTTTAATTTAATTCCGTATTAGTAACAGAATGAAGGAAGAAATCAACTAATCTAATTTCAGAATTTGGGTCAATTACGTAATAAGCATCAACTTGTATCTAATTATGTCAAAAGTTCATTCAACTTTGGCTTTGCTTTGATTAATTGATTGACGATGGAATTTTGTGTCATTGCTTTGAAAGATAATGCTAAAAAACTTTCGGATTATTTTACATTTAATCTTCTTTTTTCCTTTTTTCTTTAATTTCTAGGAGTTACTGGCTTTCTTCTGCTTCAATTTGCCATTTTTTTAACTTCCAATTTTTTGAGAACACTTTTGGAGGCTAGAAAAATAAAATACTATATTTACTAGTGATGATTTGCAGCGGGTGGTGATGGTTGATGCTAGTGATTAGTAATAGTTGTGATGGTGAAGGTGATTGTCACAATGATAACGATTGATAATAATTGTGGTGGTGGTTGTTAATTGTGATGATGGATTTGGTTAATGTTGATAGTTGGCGGTAATGGTTGAAGAATGTGTGATGTATATGATGGTGTTGATTGTTGTTGGTGACAGTGGAGATGTGATGGTATAGGTGGTTGAAAGTATGCATTGGTTGCAATGGTGGTAGAGGATGATAGTGGTGGCGAAGGTGGTAATGGTAGTAGTGACATTGAATATAATTATAATGATTGAGGTGATAGATGTGATAGTGACTGGCAATAGTGATTGACAGTGATGATAATAGTTGATATAATTATAATGATAGAGGTAATACGTATTGGGATTGAAATAATAGAACGTTAGGCAAAGGTTAATAATTGCAAATTTCGAACAATAATAAATCAGATGATAAAAATATTATACTAAAAGAAGCATAATATTATTTATATGATTTGGTTAAGTGAGCTACTTATCGGAAAACTAATATAAAAAGCATAAAGTTTATAATTTTCCACTAAATCAAATTCTTTAATCACTAAAAAGTAACATTGGGGTGTTATTTTGTTATTATACGAGAACAAAAGATCTTCTATTTTGTAGAAGTTCAAAATTGCTTCTCCAAAAAATGATAACATTTTGTGTATTAAGAAATCTTTTTGAATTAGAACACAATTGCGGTAAAATCCAAATAAGATGGGAAATTCAAAGCAAATTTAACAATAAGTGTGGTAGTGATAGACAGTAGTGATTGACAGTAATTGTAGTTATGATGAAAAAGATGGCTGACAATGATGATGATAATTGACAACAATGATAGTTGCGACATGATAATGATCAAAATTATCCACATAAATATATTTTCCAATAATATTAAGACTCTGTTCAATTAAGATTTATTCAAACTAAAAAAGTGCTTAAAATCTTACTAGCAAATAAACATGATACTAAATTATAAATGCATCTTCTTTACTATTTGAAAAGCTTTTTCCCCTTGAAAGTTTAAAATACTTTATTTTCTTGAAGAATTGAATCTATAATCTTTAAGATTGAAGGTGGATTATACTTTTCACTTAGTTATCTTTTTCAAAGTTGTGTTAAAACTCAAATTGGAAACATTGGGCAATAAATATATTATCCACTTTTTTTCTGGCTTTCCCCTATTTTAAATTATTAAAGTGAAAATATAATTACATATATTGATTATCTCGTGTTATTAATTACTCAATACAATATTTTGAAAAGGAATTTGTTATTGACGAAATACAGTTTTACTGATTCACAATTTAATTAATATATAGAAAATTAAAATGATATAACAAAATAAATAGATGATGAGCTGTTGGGCATCAATGCCTAACGAGTTACTTCTTCTTTTTTGGCAACTTTAATGGAAAATATTATATAATAAAGTTTGGTGAAGATAAGAGATGAATTATTAGCATATAAAATAAAGGTAAAAGACAACCTGGTCTTCTTGTACATATTTGCGTTTGCCCTTTTCTTTATTTATTAAAACATAATATAAAAATAAAATTATATCTTCTTTTTCCTTTCTTTATGCTTTCCTTTTTGTTCTTTTTTATGATTGGACCATTTCATGGCAGGAGCAAATGTATTTCCACACATTGTGACGGTGCCATTACTTCATAAACCATAACTACCCTATCATCTAATCCTCATTCATTTCCTTGCATACAACATTTTTTTTCATAAATATGAAAATTTCATATTTGTGAAAATTATTAAAATTTTATCAAATAAGTGAATTACATTTTATAAATAAAATATTGAAATATTTCAAGGCGCTGCATTGACAAATCATATATCTTCATATTTCTTTTATAACTAAATATATGTGATTACATACTTTTAAATGCACTTATAAAGATTCATTAGTCAACAATAATAATAACTAGCTAATCTTTAATGTATCCTTTTATATAGTATGAAAAATCTCTTCACACCGAACATGAACATTTATTTTTATATAAAATAAACTTTTGAGTCAATTTTTTACATTTTAGAAAAAAATAATAATTATGATTTTAAATCTCAAATTCTGTTATTTTTAGAGAATTTGTAATTTTAATAAATTAATGATGAACGTAAATCACATATCCTTACTCTGACTTAAAATTATAATTTCACATTGCATTGCATGTCTAAAATGAAAGAATAGGAGATAGAATATGAGTTAGGAAGAAATCAATTTCACAAACTAATTAGGTGTGAAGGAATAAGAGCATCTAATAACTTAAAATAATGCATGATGTGGAGTGGGCAAAACGTTTGTTAATCCATTAATTCAATATTCTCCAACCAATAGATACATAATTGAGTCCTAATTAATTTGAATTTTCATTCTATTTCAATTGTCGGACGAAGTTTTATTTCTCTTTATACCCCTTTTCATTTTACCATAAAACAAAGAATTCTTTTTAAGTGGATACAAACCTAAATTTTCATTTCATTCATTTTAAAATTTCTTTGTTGCAATTAGGGGTGTACATGGCCGGATTGGTTCAGGTTTTTTAAATATCAAACCAAATCATTTGTGTCGGATTTTTAAATTTATAAACCAAACCAAACCAATAAAACTCGGGTTTTTCAACCTCGGGTTCTTTTTGGGTTTTTCGGTTTTTCTGGTAAAGTATTCATACAAACATATAATTTACTAGTACTTCAAATATCTCTTTAGTCCTACCAAAATACAACTATCTAAGATGTTTCTTAAAAATATAACACAATATGGTATGATTAATGACACTAAAATATCCAACAACAACAATAATAATAATAATAATAATAATAATAATAATAATAATAATAATAATAATAATAATAATAATAATAATAATAATAATAATGAAATAGCGTAAAACAAATATTGCAAATTAACAAGTCATAATGAAAATGATCATAATTTAAAAGTACTAAATCATGCTAAAATTAAGTTTAATAAGTATTAGTTACATGACTAAATATTAAAGGAAATTAAAATTAGATTATGTATTTTAATTGTCTAAACCAATGTAAAATTAAAGAACAAATATTCAATATTATTGTCATTCTTAGTGTTGAATTGATTTTCTTTTTGTATTAGTATTAATTTGATTTTGATTTAAGCTTTATTATAACTACCAACATCTGTGAACTAAAATCTTTATTGACCCATTCATAATTCTAAGTTTCAAACTTGAAATAATATATTAAAAGATAAAAACTATGAAAAAGTATAAGAAATATTTAAAAATTATATCAAAGTAAATATTTTTATGTATAAAATAAAATTTTAAAATTATATATATAATGTCGGGTTTTTTTTTTTAGTTAAAACCAAACCAACCCAAATATAGTCGGGTTTTTTTTTTTCAAAACCAAACCAAGTCAAAC